AAAGTTATAGCATGAAAACTATAACAAGCACAAAATGGTTACAAAGTTGGTCCCAGGGACTGAGCCCATGCTGAAAGAGTTAACTGCTATATCTGTTGTAGTCTGTTGCCAACAAATAGAATAAAACTGATCAGTCTTGTAATTGCTTGACCATGATTGATCCTCAGAGGGTGAGGTAGTTTGCCATTATCCCATAAAATTTGCTAATAATTTAAAACCACAATTCTCTGTGTACTGTGTACGATGTTTTTAATGTTTATTACTTAATGAAATTGAATCTTGCAGATGTGTCCAAAGCACGGAACAGACTTTTTGGAGTACAAATGTCGCTACTGTTGCTCAGTGGCTGTCTTTTTCTGTTTTGGCACAACACATTTCTGTAATGCTTGCCATGATGATTTCCAGCGAGTAACAAACATACCAAAAAATGAATTACCTCACTGTCCTGCAGGTAGGTTTTTTGTTGTTGTTGTTGTTGTCATTATGAAAATGATAAACTCTGTTTTGAAGTTTTTTAAATGGGATTTTCAAGTTGTTGTAAACTGTATGTTATTATGATAATGTCATGAAGCTTCTAGTCCAAAAAAAAAGGGCATGAAAGTACAATCGTTTAGGTAAAGACATTTTTTTAAACAAGAAATATAATCTTGTTGTTAGTTCAGAATTGTGATGTATTAAGGTGTATGGTAAGTTGACTCTGCCTAAGATACTTGTGTGTATTTTGGCTGTTTGTACAAATTGTTTACTTCAGTAAAATATGTTTTTTTTCATGCCATTGCCTATAAAATATCATACTGGTCCCACACTTTTATTTCATAAACTTACTTTAATGTTGTTTTTCCTGGGTTAGCTGGTTTTTTTATGACTTTATACAAACTATTTGTGCTTGTTACTTTCATTTTCTCTGCCCAGGTATAAGTAGGATATGTTATGAAGGTTGGTATGTATAATTGCTTCATATTTCTATTTTGCTTTTGCACATTCTCATGAGTTTTATGAAAAAATGCTTCATGCAGATTGTTGAATTCTTTGTGCTAGTTTTTTTCAAAGGAACTGTATAATATTAAAGGTCTGTCTATATCCATTTTGTTTTGTTATTCCTACCATACATATATATTGATACTTCTAACTTTTCTCTGTAACCAACAATAAATTAGCTTTGTAATGTTACTAGATTCAACAATCACAAGTTCACAACAGCAAAGTAAGTTTGGGGTGTTACTAGATATAACAATCACAAGTTCACAACAGCGAAGTAGGATTGGGGTGTTACTAGATTCAACAATCACAAGTTCATAACAGCAAAGTAGGTTTGGGGTGTTACTAGATTCAACAATCACAAGTTCACAACAGCAAAGTAGGTTTGGGGTGTTACTAGATTTAACAATCACAAGTTCATAACAGCGAAGTAGGTTTGGGGTGTTACTAGATTCAACAATCACAAGTTCACAACAATGAAATAGGTTTGGGGTGTTACTAGCTTCAACAATCATAACAATGCTTACTAACCAAATAACCTATTTAATAGTTTAAGTTCACTGTGTTTGTCTTTCTTCTTCTCAAAATGCAAAAGTCCACTGAACAACTTTTAATTCAGAAAGTTATTAATTTCAAATTCATTATATGATCCCTTAAAATTCTAGAATAGAATAGTTTTACTTATATATTGTCATTTAGTGTATTTTACTTTGGAATATATGTTTTGAAGCATTGTAGGCATCAGTCAAAAATATACTAAATGCAGAAGGGTTTTGTTCTTATAAAGAAACTGAACATCATTATATTTTGTTTTTTAAATAAAAGTTTCCTGAGAGAAATATTCAGTCTGTATTCAAGTGTCTTTTGCTTTCTTTGATATTTTACAAGTGTAGCTCTTTGTTAATTATCATTTAATTAAATAGTGTGTATGTAAATAATTTTTTTTGGTTTTATTTTATTATGAAAAGATTTGGTTGTTAAAATTTTCAACTTGGGGTGAAGTCTGCTCTTTTAAAAGATAGCTTCGGGAGGTGCCTTGCAAGAGGTCAAAATTAAGGTGCCAAAAACCTTTTAGTCCAGTCTTGAATAATTGTGTTGATTCTACAGTATGACCTAAAGAATACATAAATCATTATTTTATATTATTATTATTTATTTTTTGCTGTTACAGGTCCAAAAGCCAAACAGCTGGAAGGAGAGGAATGTCCGCTACATGTGAAACATCCACCTACAGGGGAAGAGTTTGCACTTGGTTGTGGTGTCTGTAGGAATGCTCACACATTCTAAAAGATGATGAGGGATGGTGTAGTTGAATAATACACTTGTAATATAGTCTGTGGAAAATTCCTTACAAAAATTTGGGGTAGTAATGAAAAAGGTCTTTCTAATCAACACTGTGGTTTTTACATAATGATTAATGTTTAAAACAACATTGGAGTGGATGGGTTCTGCAAGATTGTGATTTGCAGACATTTGAAAACTTAAGGTCAGTTTTGTATGCATCATTACAATATAGTGTTTTAGTGTTTTTCTTTTCTAGATACTCCAATAAAGATATATATGGCAAAAAGTATTATAAAACCAATATTGTGTGTAAGTATTGAATTCTGCCAGTTATAGCTGGTAAGTGGTTCATTCATTCATACAGCAGTGTTATTTAGTACAGTTTTATGTTCAGGAATTATCTTGTACATATTAGTTGTTACCCCTAAATATAGAATGTGAACAAACTTCAAGTTTGAATCATTTCACCATCTGTCTCCATTACAGATTTTTAGTATACTTTGTGTAAATTTTTTTTTTGTCAGAAGAAAATGAGAGTCTAATACAGGCAAGTTAATTTTTATGCTGTGATATGTTTGTATCATATGTGTCATTGATTTCTGTTTTCATTTGATGTTGCCCTGAAGTAGAAGCAATATTATATCCTGTTAACAATGAATCAAAAAGTTGTGAAGCTATCTATATAGTACAATTTTGGCTTGATATTTAACCTTCATTGCTTTAAGTAAAACTTTTATTATCTTTTTCCATACATTTCTAATTTCTGTGTTCTTCCTCAATATGTAAGTGATGAAACTTGAAGATGCAGACCTTCCAGAGTCTCTATCTAAACTTTAAATCTCAATCCTTGAATTAATGTTTTGTTAAAGTTTGTGTAATTGTCTTGTTTTGGCACATTTCCTCAATGTTAAATGACGTGGCTTGAAGAAGATCCAGACCTTCCAAAGCTGGTGTTTCTGAAAGAAGGAACTTGAAGAGTGTTTCTTGTAACTTGTTAACCCGAATCATTTTTGGGTTCGATTGTAACTAAAAAAAAATAAATAATAATAAACATTTTATCTGGTAATCCGTGTTGTCATGAGTTTATTTAATGTCATGATAATTTCACTCCTCTCTGATATTCTTTTCAGAGAACAGCAGTATGACTGTTTCCTATAAACAAGGATTTCACATGAACTTCCAATAAAGACTTTCAAATATCTCAAATTACATAACAGGGATTGTCTTTGTGTTAAAATTGTTCATGCTTGTACTTCATTTTCATCATAAAGTGATGATTGAAATCAGACTATCCTCAGTACCCTAATAAACTGAAGTCCAGTCACTAAACTAACAAGCAAAACACTGGTCCTTAATCTGATCCCACCCCCACCCCACCCCAAATAAAACTGGTATGTCTGAGGGCTGATAATGCTAAAAATTGGGTTTTGATACTTTTGGTGAGTATAGATTATTATGTAGCTTTGTGCTTAATAACGAACAAAAAACAATCTGACAGTTTTTTTCCACCTATGGGAGATTATGTAAAATTATGCAAGAGGAAACTATTTAAAAATCAGTAGCATTCATTAGTTTTTTTTAATAGAAACAAAATGGTTTGTATATATGTGGTAAGGAGTAACAAAAGGGTAGAAAGTTTTGAACTTAGTCCTATATGCTGAAAATAATGTAAAGTTAATGATTAAGAAGATAAAACTGTTGTAAGTAATGTTTTATAGATAATTAATATTGCACGTGACCATTTTCAACTGCAATAGAGACATATATAATTGTCAAACTGTAAATTTTTTATGTGGTTTTTCTAAGGGTATTTCACCTAATATTATTACACAAACTAAATCATTCCTACGAACACTGAATTTGAATTGTAGGATGTCCCTTTTTTTTTAGCTGTTCCAGCAGAGAGTGCCACAGCCATGCATGTGTTTTCTTACACCTGCAAGATTTATTATTATTTTACCATTAATTTTTAGTTTCACATCACCAACATTCTAATTATTTAGTCCATTTTATGTATAAACTTTAATTTTGGCAGTCTGTCGTAAACTTACTTTTAGTAGTATATATACTGATGCCAATTTATGGGTGTGTTGGGCTAAGGATTCTTCTACAGTAGGTGTCTGTGACTTGGTGATAAATTCAATAATAAACGAACAGCACGAACTCCACTTGTTTTAAAATTATATATATATTGAAAACAAGTTAAACATATGTACAAAATTCTTTACACTATGGAGATCATAGTTGTATCTTAAATACTACACTATACAGTTCTCTTCTTGTCAAAAGTCCACTTAGGCTAATTCAATTGCTTCAGAATTCAGTTGACAAGCTGAACTATTTTTATCGCAATAGCATCCGAGTATAATTCACTTATGCTGTCGCGTGAGTTACCGCAGTTATATCCTGAACTTCCAATAATCATCTGCCTTTTCTCAAAGTCCTAAACAGGCAGGTTCAATTAGTTTAGAACATCCTGTGACGAGACAAATTATTCTCCTTATCTTTTTCAAACTGTTAATCTCACTCTTAACATATCAACTGTTTGGCCATTCACTCTCATGATGGTTAACCTTAACTTTTCTTTGACCAAAGTTCCTTTGCACATGACTTTACTTTTACTCTGTTTCCTCTCGTCTGGTCACAGCTACTTATACGTCTATCACTTGGGGCTTCTAGAAATCTCCATAGCTTCGACATTAATGAATTGCAAACACAAAATAAATTAATTAATAACACTACCTACATTAAAGAGTATTTATATCTGACACAGTCTATCCAATGAAAATTAAGTAAAAAATGTAACCACCATCTTTTTTTTTAATATATATACACACACACACAAAACAAACATTATAATGAGACCAAAGTTCAAAATTATTCTTCCATTACCAGCCCTCATTGTCATCCTTAAGTCATAATGGATAATGTCTGTGGTCATAATATCCAAATGCGTTGGGGATATTCCATCTATCAGACAAGATCTTGACGCTGATGTAAAACTCGCAAGCAACTAAGGAGAATCAGTTAAGGGTTGGGAGTTTTACTCCCAACCTCCACCTTTTTCTTTAATATTGTAAGATATAAAAAACAAAATATATTCTTATAGTAGAAATAAACCACCCTATGTTTCTACAAAACTCCACCCTTTTATGTAATAATTAGTGATATTAAACAGACCTAAAAACCTTTATCTTAATAGTTCTTAAGCTCCCATCCTCTTCCCTTTATCTTGAAAAATTGTTTCAAGTATAAACCAGGTGGGCTTAGACAAGCCCAGCTACCTGAAGTTGGTCTTTTCACCCTGCTATACTGAACAGAATATAAATATAATGGTTGGAGACAGCTTGGAGAATATAAATATGTTAAAGCTAGTTACTTAAACCAAGGATAACCTTGAGTGTTCTACACAATGATGACGGTAACATAAGAATAATTTCAAATTTTGATCTCATTATAATGTTTTTGTTTGTATTAAGTTCATTAGTGTTTTATAGTGCTGATTTTAATCGCATATGGACAATTAATGCATTTCATAGCATTAGATATATTGATTTATATATATATATTTTTGAATAAGCTACAAAAATTTTTATAAAACATGTACATCAGTACAGTAATGCCTTAACATCTTGGTATTCATGTCCAAACATAATTTTGGGGGCTGGAATACTAAATTCAAGGGCAGTTTTGTTGTCTTCCCCATTGATTTATTATATCATAATTATTGTTTTTTGGCAAGCACAAACTTTCCCGTATCTGGCTGCAGACAGCGAAAGGTGGTAAAGATGTGGGACGTTGTGCGCTAAAGCACCCACATCTACTCCTTTTCTCTTTTGTTCTAGGCATGTGAGGCCAACGAAGTTGAAGTTAATCTGGATAGACGGTGTACTCTCAACGCAATTTAGTCACCTCAAAAAAACCAGGACACATTACATAATGACCCACCTTATGATTTACACCCTGGTGTGGCTGCGTTTTTGTTTTTTGATGATGTTTTTTCCATAGGATTATTATTTTTTCTCTCTATAAAATGTAATATATATATATATATAATGTAATATAAAGCGAATGTGTCCGTTTATCTAATGTTAGCAGTTGTGTTAAGGTACTGGATGGACCAATTTCGATTAAATTCGGAGCAAGAACTGAGGTGGACTTCAAAAGATTGAGTTTGATGGATAATTAATCGAACAAATGGTTCGAGTTCGACAGCCATTTTAATTTCCCCGTTTTAACGCTGCAGTCTGTGGTTTTTAAAAACTTGCAGGTCAGACAACGAGCTTTATTACATGGATGACAACCTTTCTTTGATGAGGTGTAATTCAATTTTTCATGGACAAGGATGTCTTTAAGACTTCTGCTCTTCCTGAATGAGACGAAGGGTACTTCAGGAAATATTTGTCTAAGGTGATTATTCAGCTGTAGTAAATGAATTTTTTTTTTTTTCAGAATGCGGGAAACGTGTGATATCTTTGTTTACTGTACGTTTAATTAATTTTTATTGTTTTATAAAAATGTTTGTTTCTAATTTGCTGAGTAACTTATAATTTTTCCACAGAATCACTTATAGAGTCTTTATTGGTCAAATATTATTTTAGTTCAAACTTAACTAATCTAACGTATGTATATCAATTAACTTTCGAATTGTGTTATTAGTTATTAAACTCCTTGAAAAGAAGAACGTAAGTTATAGACCTTTTTCTGGGATCATTTATGCTCGTATTCCTGTATTTAAAAGGGACCGTCCGTACTGTGTAAATGGTTGAAGATAGCTGTAAAAGATCTTTTCTTCCTAAATATATTCATTATCGATATGTCTATTTGACTTTACCAATCTCGCTATACAAACGTCTTTACTCATAAGCGCTATGACATATCTATTCATGCATAGGTGTAACCTGAACATCATTACACTGTCGAATAGTCAAATATTCACCGTGAACCAAACGTATAGGTGCTAAACATACCATATATTTTGCTCCAGGTACCATGGTTTTTCAGTAGCCTATACAAATCTTTCATACAAAGTGTGTTCAATCCTCTGTAGATGAAATTAGGGTAAAAAATACCGACAAAAAATTTTGGAGTTCAATACAAATGGTAAACAAAAATAGCTGACAAGCCCTAATAATAAATAGTTCAGAAAAAATTAGTCCGAAGTTGTGGGACAGTGGTAAATTCACGGACTTACAACGCTAAAATCCAGGGTTTGAATCCCCACGGTAGACATAATAAATAGCCCAATGTGGCTTTGCTAAAAAAATAGAAAAAATAGAATATAACTATTCATACAATGTATTTTACTTTTACATTTTTATGTAGTAAACAGACGTCTTCGTGCGTAACAAGTAGCATCAGCTAGCACCTTTGAAACTATGAAAAATCTTTTAAGGCTGTATGTGCTGATAACTACTTTCGTGTTCCAAATAATAGTGTAGGGTAGAAAAATATCAAGAATTTAATAATAGTACAGAGTGGAAAAATTCAGACTTCAAATTTAATGACTGCACAGGTCGAAATCATAGTATGAAATTAAATTTTGTGTTTTTCGTTAATGATCACCCCAAAAAAATCGTGTACATCCAAATAAGCATCGTGCAGGGTGGAAACTTTCTCCAAAATTAATAATCGTATAAGTACGATTGTTTGGAATATCAAAATAGTACCATCTAGTAACAACCAAAAACATGACATTATAATGGAATATTTCACAAAATTTTCTATCAAAACTTTCTATAAGGATCCAAATGTCACCTTGTCTTTTTCATAAATTGTTGGTGTGTTTAATTTACGAATTTGGTATTTTACGCTAAAGTATATGCCGCAATATTTTAATAAATCATGTCAGTAATGTGGCAGTAAACAAGTTTAAGTGCTACTATTTTTAAATTCTTGTTGTTTTAAGATACTTTGTTGTTGTTTATTATTATTAAGCACAGAGCTACACAAAGGGCTATCTGTTTAAAAAGGTTTGAAATGTAAGATAGTATATTTCTTGGGAATATACAGTCCCTTAAAAGCAAATGTAATTTTTGTACAGTAGTCATGGTCAACAAAACAAAT